CCCCAAAACGTTTGCTTGTAGCAATGAAATTTCTTGGCTCCTTGCGACATCAAGATCCCCGGTCTTGTCGTTTTTGTTTATTTTAATTTTCTCCTCCCCCCCTTTTTTGGCCTGTTCTGGTTTGTGCCAGAAAACGAATCAACTTTGGCACAGCTCAGCGTCGAAAACTTGATGACTTGGGCGTGTGATGCTGAAAGACTGGCGTGCTCGGGGGGACAATGTTTTATTTATTGGACAATGTTGTAAGAACTGGAAATGTACCTTTGCCATCATGTATCATCGGACTCGCTAAGTGATGAGATGGCGAGAAGGGTGTTCCCCCAAGATCTGTACAGGTGTTTACCATCCATTGTATTGCCCAGAAGACAAGACAGGACATCCGGAGTGTTTTGTTTGTGGAAAATGGAAGAGATAATGTTTGAGTAATTTCTGAAGGCTGTATATTGTCTCCTTGCTTATTTAACTTATATGTAGAATACATCATGCGAAAGGCTGGACTGGAGGAATCCCAAGCCGGAATCAAGATTTCCGGAAGAAATATCAACAACCTCCAATATGCAGATAATACAACTCTGATGGCAGAAAGTGAGGAGGAATTGAAGAGCCTCTTAATGAGGGTGAAAGAGGAGAGCGCAAAAATGGTCTGAAGCTCAACAGCAAAAAAAACCCTAAGATCATGACCACTGATTCCATCACCTCCTGGCAAATAGAAGGGAAAGATCTGGAGGCAGTGACATATTTTACTTTCTTGGGCTCCATGATCACTGCAGATGGTGACAGCAGCCACGGAATTAAAAGACGCCTGCTTCTTGGGAGCAAAGCGATGTCAAACATACATAGGATCTTAAAAAGTGGAGACATCATCTTGCTGACAAAGGTCCGCATAGTCAAAGTTACGGTTTTTCCAGTAGTGATGTACGGAAGGGAGAGCTGGACCATAAAGAAAGCTGACCACCCGAAGAATGGATGCTTTCGAATTACGGTGCTGGAGGAGGCTCTTGAGAGTCCCCTGGACTGCAAGGCGATCAAACCTATCTGTTCTGAAGGAAATCAACCCTGAGTGCTCAGTGGAAGGGCAGATTCTGAAGCTGAGGCTCCAGTACTTTCGCCATCTCATGAGAAGAGAAGACTCCCTGGAAAAGACCCTGATGTTGGGAAAGAGTGAAGGCAAGAGGAGGAGGGGACGACAGAGGATGAGATGGTTGGACAGGGTCACCGAAGAGGCCAACGTGACATTGACCAAACTCTGGGAGACAGTGGAAGGCAGGAGGGCCTAACGGGCTGGGGTCCATGGGGTCACGAAGAGTCGGACACAACTTGATGACTAAACAACAACAACATTGTATACCTTGTCTTCCTGTTGCTGTTGAGTAACGTATCCCGATGATGCTTTAAAAGAACGAGCCAGAGATCCCCAGGAAGGAACTTTGAAACGCAGAGGCTCAATCAGAAAACTCCAGATTTTGGTGATGGCCCAGCCAACGCTGTAATCCTGCGCATACGTTTTCAACAAAAGAGGCCAAGAGAGAATGGGTAAGCCAGTTTTTTTTTGTAAGGCAATTAAGAACACGGGGAAAAGAAAAGAAAAATACCCGCCTTAAACTGTGTTCAGTAAATACTAGATTTATTTTTCTTTCCTTTGGTGTTTGTCTGTTGCCGTCGCCTCTCCCCCTCCCGTCTCTCATTCTCTGTATATCTCTGGATGGATAATTATATAGAGGCTGAAATGATGAAAAGATATTTATACGCTTTGAAGTCTTGGATCTTTAGAAGACAGAGGCTCTGTCAGGACGTTTGCTAGGGAAATTGCCTTCTGTTCCCTGCGCTTGAGCGTGGCTGGGCCGTGTGCGGGTTCCCGAAGACTGACCATGAAACGCTCCCGGTAGGGCATTCAGCGCCACGTTCCACCTGTGACTCAAAGGTCAGTGCGTCTCTGCCCTCTGTTCGCAGGGGCCGCGCTGTTCAGGATCCTGACCGTGGCTTTGTTTGTAGGACTAAGGGGAGAATGATCCTTTCACTGAGCTTGATCTCATATGGAATGTCGTCGGGAGGTTAAATGGATGCTTGCTCCGTTTCTGCTTTGATGTGAAAGCGCAAGGATGAATTTTTGGTCCCCCGGCAAGATTTCTCCCGTCCAGCGCAAGGATAAGAAAACGAGATCATTTGAAGACTAGAGAGAGAGACCCAGCACAGAACTCCTGTCTAGAATATATAATAATCATGATGTCCTGTCAAGTTGATTCTGGCTTAGGCCAACCCTTTCCTGGGTTTTCCAGGTAGAGGGTACTCAGAAGTAGTTTATTGTTTCGAGAAGGGGTGTCGTGGGACGGTGCAGCTGTTGCCTAAGGCCTCCCAGACTGGCTGTTCTCCCCGAAGGCACACAGTGTGGGATTCAAACTCCTGATCTCTGGCTTTGCAGACAGATGCCAAAACCATGGAGCTCTCCAGCCGGCTCTCTGATAACCATGTGCCCTCACGTCAATTCTGATTTATGGCAACCATTTCCAGGATTTTCCACGTAGAGAGTCCTCAGAAGGGGTTTCCCTTTTCTTTCTTCTGGGGGGGGGGAACCGTGGGACTGTGCCGCTTGCCAAGGCCACCCAGGCCGGGTCTTCTCCCAGGAGGCACAGTGAGGGATTCGAACTCCTAGCCTCTGGTTCCACAGCCCAATAGCTGCTGTATATAAAAAAGTTGCTTAGCTTGCATGCTCCATGTGTCTGAACTGGCTTAAAAGCACTGTAAGAATTTAGTTGTTCCTAGAACAGACAAGGCATGGATACCTCGTTGGAACTGAATGGCGTTTGTGTCCCTCCCCTTTTGGAAACAACAGGTGCACACAGGCACAGAAGGACAGCTTGATGGTTCAAGAAGGAAGGAACAACCCATCGGGTGCTTCCGGTTCCGTTTTTGGCACAAGGGTTCAGTTCTGCAATTTGCACAAAAAAAGGGGGAACTTCCCGAGATGACGCGCGGGGGGGGGGCGAAGCTCACTGTCCTTCAGATGAGCCAAGAAACACAGCTCTTTCACACTCGCTCCAGGGAAGAGGAGACCTGAGAGGATTTATCTCCCGATTGTCTGATCTGTTGATCGTAAGAAAGGAAATTACACACACACACACACCAGGCCTACTGCATTAATGCCCCCCCCCGTCCCTTGCCCAAAGAAGCCCAAACCGGGCAGGATGACTGGGGTGGGTGAGTGGAAGAGAAAAGCCTTCCCTTAATACCTCCTCCCAGACATCTACAGATTGACAACAGGAAAATATATATATATTTCCAGTTTTTTTCTTACAGGTATCCTTTCGCCACCCACCAGACAAATGTAATTCCAGCTTCTTGGAGGTCAGATTGGTTCTCATGCAACCTGTCCCTTAAACGCCCTGTATCGGGAGGGGGGGAGTGAACAATAAAGGAGATGAAGCTGAGATTTCTAATTATTTTGAGGGTGGGGGAAGGAAGGTTCTCTTTCCCAAACACACACATATACACACAAAGAGTCCAGCCCCCCCCCACACACACACGTACGTGTGTTGCATTCTGGTTTCCTTGCGGCAAGACCAGAAGGGAGGACCTTCCTCTCAGAAGGGAGGCCACGAAGATGAACTTGGAGAGGAAGATGGCATTGGAAGAGACGCAGAGAAAGGACGCCCAGGAGAGGTATCTGGAAAGTGACAACAGAAACGGATGCCAAGCATGGTTCTCTTGGAATTGATGCTGAGACTAAGCACAGAAAAGATGGTCTTGGAAGGAACGGCAGGAATATCATCTTGGAAGGTATACAGTACAAATGGACTCCGGGGAGGACATTTTTGAAGAGGCGACAGGAAGATGTGTCTCGGGATGGTTGGCAAACCAAATCTAAGGGAGACCTTAGCGAGCACCAGCGTGATCGGTCATCAGAGGAACTCGCTGGGCATCAAAGCCGAGCAGGCGCTAATCATTACAGTTCCAGGAGGCCAGAGTGTAGAAGCAAGACTGGAGATTTATGGCCTTCCGTGTGGCCTTGCAGGCTCCTTTGAGGGTGGTGGTGGAGGGGCTGAGAGCAGGTAATGCGGAGAAGGAGAATGCTGGGTCGTTTATTGTCCTGCCCGGCTGGAGGCAGCTAGTAATTAAAAGCATGAAGTCACCAAGCCGGGGGTGGGGGGGAGTCCTGCTTTCAGAGAGAGAGCGTGCATGCAGAGTGCTTTGAACAGTGCCATTATTAATTAAGAGGGAGGTATATGCCCCATTCTGTATCACGGGTGATTACACCGCAGGGGAGAGCAAAAGCTTCCACTTGCTAACATTTGACCCAAGGGAATCGTGCAGCGCGCTGCCCCGGCGTTTCGTCCCACTCCCAAGGTCGGGAGCAGAAGGAATGGGAAGAGAAACGTTGGGGGCACGTGAGCCCCCCTGGACCGTGGCGATTGGGGTCGAGCCCCTCTTGGCTGGGAAATCCCTGCATTTCAGGGGCATGCAGGTGTCTTACGGGGAAGGAAACCAAAAAGGGTCAAAACCACAGTCACCTTTGCAACGTGTGGGTGACAAACCTCTAAAACAATGCAGATCCCCATGTGTTAGTTTAGGGTTGGACAGGTTTGGTGGTTATAAGCAAAATTGTCTGTCTCCAGGATCCCCTGAGAGCCTCCAAAATTGCAAAGCAATAAATAGAAATCTTTACCAGTGAGCATTGGATTAACTGTCTTTCCTGCACAACACGGTGGCTTGCAGGAGGTTTTTGTAAAAGTAGCATTGCAGAATTCTGGATCTAACACAAACACACAATGATTCATGGGCTTAAGGCAAACCAGTGGCAAGTATTAAAACAAAAAAAAAGGAAACCCAAGCTAACCACCTAGTTACCTTGTGAATCACGAGAACGTCTAAGTGGCCTTCTAAGAATTACGGCCGATTGTATTCGTGAGGTATTGGGAATGGTAACTAATTACTTTTTAGAAAGAAGAAAAGTTCTTGCTGATGGTGGTCTCTTGTTTTTCCTCCCCCGTCTCTTTTTGGCCCAGATCCTGCTCTGCGTTCCTTCCCATGTCGTCCCCCCTCCACAAACGGGTAAACGTGGCACAAGGCTTCTTTGCGGGTGAGTGACTTGAAAAGCTGCCGTGGCCGAGGTTAACTCGGAATAAATCTGGAGCCAACAAGCGGTGGGACCGAGAGGCCTCGGCTGCCCTTTGCTAAGACCAAAGGCCAGAGGCATCTGAGATTAAGCCTGACAGCTATTTTGCTTTGCCGCGCCAACAATGCAGAAAGGAAGAGAGGGACCAAAAAAGCTGCTTATGGTCCAGGAAAGCACCCATTACTTGTAATTTGGCAGGATTCGCACGGGTGGGGCGGTCCCTTCTAAAGAACCAGCGTGATGTCCTAGTCCCTCTTCACTCCACTGGGTGATCGGAAGCAAGCCCTAAAGAATTGCTGCGACACCAAGGTAAAACCAGGTGGAATCGTAGCATCATGAGTGGGAATGGAGTCCAACCCCCTGCTCAAGGCAGGAATCCCAGTCAAAGCAGAGCTGAAAGATTGGGGGGGTGTCCGATTTTCTTTTGAATGGCTCCAGCGTTGGCGCGCTCATCACCTCCCAAGGTTACGGGCCCCGTTGTCGTACCGCTCTAACAGCTAAGAAGTTTTTCCTGATTTTCAGCCTTCCTGTTGCCTGAGTTACGTGACGATGGGTCCAAAGGCCTGCCATTGGAAGATCGTTTCTCCTCCGTCCAAGTAGCCAAAGTTCACCAGCGGGACGGAGAGTTTCAAGCCTGTTTTTGCCCCCACCGCGGGGGGGAGACCCAGCTGGCAGAGCGTGCCATCCGCTGGCCTCCGTACGTTTTACATTATTGCCTTCTGATTGTGTTCCTTTCCCCTTTGGTGGTGGGTCCTGCCCGTTTCCAACAGCTGGCGCGAGTGGAGGATATCAGCTGCTGCTTAACCTGATGGTCCTTAGCCCTACATGTTTGACGTGCGGTACCCAAAAGCAACAGGCAGGAAGAAGGCTCTGGGAGTGGCTGGATCAGGGCCATTCTCAACCAGGTCAGATGTAGATGTGGGGAGAGGCAGTCAAACACTGGGACCCCGTCTTCTATATGGGATAGCTCAAGGATTGAGGTTGGGAGTTCAGATCTTCCCTGAGCCTCCTGGACAGGGGGTGGATTGGATGACCCCCTAGGTTTTAAGATGACGATGATGCCTTTGTGGGGGTAGAAACGGGGGTGGAGGACGTGGCCAGGGAAGGGGCTGGGGACTGGAGACTCCTGCAGGGCGTCTGCCTGCTGATTCAGCCCCTCCAACATCCACACCGCCTGACCACCATGGCGCCTCCTCCAGCTCTGGCTTCAGCGCTGCAAACGCAGGCAGCAGCCGGTGAGGTGAGGTTGTGGAAGGAGCAGGCGCACCACGGAGCCCTCTTGCCACCGCCCGGCTTTTCCGGCCCTCCCGAAAAGTGCCGCCTCTCGATTCGGGGCTCCCCCTGTTTCCCAACTGCTTCTCACGACCTGGACTTCCCGTGGACCCCAGTGATGTCAACAGGCCCAGCCAGGTGGATCGGGCCCAGGAGGTAGGTGCCGGAGATGCAGCGGAGACAGACTCTATGCCTGTCAGTAAACGCTGCCCTGTCTCTTGAGCCCATGGTTGCATGTTCTGCACTCTGGGATGATCGAGAACAGATCCTGCCCCTCCTCTGTACTGACAGCCTTTCAGATATCTGAAGAGTGCTATCTTATCACCCCTCTGTCTTCTTTTTTCCAGGCTAAATGTGCCTGTGCCGGAGATGCAGCGGAGACAGACTCTATGCCTGTCAGTAAACGCTGCCCTGTCTCTTGAGCCCATGGTTGCATGTTCTGCACTCTGGGATGATCGAGAACAGATCCTGCCCCTCCTCTGTACTGACAGCCTTTCAGATATCTGAAGAGTGCTATCTTATCACCCCTCTGTCTTCTTTTCTCCAGGCTAAATGTGCCCGATTCTTTCAGCTTTTCCTTATATGGCTTGGTTTCCAGCCCCCTGGTCCTCCTTGCATGAGTTGAGTCGGTAAAGTGTAGGTCGGCTTCTCATCCATTCAAAAGTATGTGAACTGTCTCCAAGAGTTTTGCATTGATCCTGCTTATGATGTTGTTGTTTAGTCGTTAAGTCATGTCCGACTCTTTGTGACCCCAAGGACCAGAGCACGCCAGGCCCTCCTGTCTTCCACTGCCTCCCGAAGTTGTGTCAAATTCATGTTGGTCGCTTCGATGACCCTGTCCAGCCATCTCGTCCTCTGTCATCCCCTTCTCCTCTTGCCCTCACACTTTCCTAACATCAAGGTCTTTTCCAGGGAGTCTTCTCTTCTCATGAGATGGCCAAAGTACTGGAGCCTCAGCTTCAGGATCTGTCCTTCCAGTGAGCACTCAGGGTTGATTTCCTTCAGAATGTATAGGTTTGTTCCCCTTGCAGTCCAGGATATTCTCAAGAGTCTCCTCCAGCACCACTTATGCTATACGGGATTCTCAAGAGTTTCCTCCAGCACCACTTATGATATATATTAGCTCATTTCTAAGGATGTAATACTTTTTAAATAGCATTTTTAAATGTTATTTTAGCTCTCTGTTTTCTGGCATTCTGCAGTGAAGTTTTATGCTCTTGGTTATTCTTATCCACTTAAGCCCGACGCTTCCACTCTGTTATCGAAAGATGTTCTTTTATGATTAATTATGTAATCTAAAACAGAATCACGAGGGGGAGAGGGAGAAGAGAAGTTATATGAATTGGGGGAAGGTGAAAGAGTAGGGTTATGAGTGGGTCTCCCCATCGTTGACTTTGTCCAAGTCCTTTGAGACAACTTGACCAGGTGGCTCAAGTAATAGGACTGAGATAAGAGAGAATATTGATATGAGAGCTTGACTGGGAGAAGCAATTCCTTCTCTCCTATAAGAAACTGAGTTATTAAAATGGAAATATCAACAGATGGCTTCTTTTTTTTAAAAGGAACGTTTTATTAAAAAACGTGATAAACGCGGATAAACCCAAACAGTATTGGCGGCTGGGAGTAAGTGAAAAATATATTTCAAACTCCGAGTGTGGAAGCAGGAGGCTCCGCTCCGGGTGTCCAATTCTAAAGGATTCCAGCAGATTTTGTATTAATCCTACGTTCGGCTTTCCTGGAGAGACTGTTCGTTTCTGCCCGAAGGAGCTGCCTCTCTTAATTAACCACAGGGGACCTTCGCTGCCCGGTTCTCGGTAAAGAAAGTTTATATTCCAGGTTGCAAGGGTAGAGAAGATTAGAAGGGGGTTGATCTCCCTACACCTGCATGGAAAAGACGAGAAATTGGGATCTGAGAACGAGCCACGAGGTCAAGGTCAAGGAGAAAACCAGATGTCCAGCGTGTTTGGTGGCCAGTTTGAAATGAACTCCCGTCCTGAATCAAAAGAAGTCCCCAGATGGCTGGGACTGGCCTTGACTCATTCTGTATCAACTGAAAGAATGGGCCCTTTTAACCTTAAGAAAAAAAGACGGAGAGCATTTTTCGAAGACTTGAAATGTTGCCCCTACAGAGGAAGGGCAGGATCTGGTCTTCGATCCTCCTGAAGGAAAGGAAACGTCATCATGGGCTCAAGTGACAGGAAGCCAGATTTCGACGGAATATCAAGAAAAACTTCTCGGCTGCTAGAGCAGTACGACAACAGAACCTATCACCTTCTGAAGGTGGAGGGTGCTACAACGCTGGAGGTCTTTGTGGGGAAATTGCGACAACCCTCTGTCCGATCTGCTTTGACTTGGATTCTTGCCTTAAGTTCTTTGGGCTCAATGAACCTTGTGGGCCCCTTCCAACTCCATGATTCTGTGGACAACGTAGTTGAACCCCAGGTAATACCTAGTTGTTCAAGTAAATACACGCTGAATCGGGAAGGATTTTCCTACTCTTTCCTGCTTAGGAAGAGTTGATGACCAAAGAGGGTGGAAGGAATCCCATTATGGAACTATTCGGTTGAGAAGGTTGCCAGCCTGCAGTTCACAGGCTCACCAAATGAGGCAGTATAGTCTTCTTGTCGAACCCGGTCTTGGTCTCCAGGGCTATCCAATCAGAGTCCAGGGTTCTTTGAGGTGGCCAATAGGAAGAGCTTCGAGAAGCATGGACGGCCAATCCATTGAAACTCCCAAGACATTTGTGAATTTCACGGTGGGACTATACATGTCGAACACCCCTTATTTTGTATTTAAATCCGTTTTGTTATGTTAATACCTCAATCCCCCCCCCCATGAACTCAAAGCTGTCCTCTGCTGGATCATCACAACAACCCTATAAGGTAGGGTGTGGAGCAGAGAGAGTGGGACTGGCCCCATGCTCCCCCTTACGTCAGATTTCATGGGAGATTGGAACTCAAGGCTGTGAAATCCTCGTAAAACATTAGTTATGCTGTACATGCCCTGTTGTTGCAAAATAAGACTTTAAAGGGAGAACGTTGCTTCTCACAAATACCTTTTATTTTTCCTGAAGCTGCTGCAGGAGTTTGGGTTGACACAGGACTTTTGTAACAAAAGGGGACCCCGTTTTGAGGGGAGGATAAATTTCGCTTCCAGAAATTGAACATTTGGGGGTGTTCCACCCCAATCTTAAATCCAGGCTAGTAAGAAAATTATAGATATAGAGAAATATATAGAAAATTAATCCTCAGCAGTGACCTTTTCTGTATCTCCGGTTTCATCCTCCAGAGATCCTCGTTCCATGTGTCTTTTCCTCCACCCTGGGCTCTCCAAGGATGTCCTGTCAGGTTTATTCTGAAGACTTCTCAACCAGATAATTCCCCGTCTCCTCGCCGCCTGGGTGCACGCTCCTCCTTTTGCCTTTCCCGTCCTATGGGTGGTGAATAATTAATTTTCCCATCAGAAGAAAAAGCTCTGGTGCACCCTTCCTGAACGGCATGCCAGCCTGTCGCCCACCTTGGCCCATTAATCTTTCAAAGCATCTGTTTGGAAAAATAGAAAGGAAAAAAAAAAGCTCACCTGGAAAGACCAGGAGAAGGAGGGGGGGGAAAGATATTGGATTGTCTCCCGGACACGGAGCAGAAGGGATCAAAGTCATCTTGGAGTTTTCTGGAAGAGTC